ATTTGAGATGGGATTACTACTACTGCATACAGAATTCCAGACAGTGATAAATATCTGTTTATACAATGGCATTAGAACACGTTCAGGTTTAAGTCTATATCCTGTTCCTTAACATCTTGACTCCTATTCAGTTGCAGTCAGAATAGCAAAGATCTTCACTGAGTAATGCTTAGGCCCCTCTCCTGTGTTTATGCTGTAAATGTTGAACTCTGCAACATTAATTCTCTCATCATCATAGGAACTCCTTACATTAAGTCTGACTCTGGGTTTAGACAAATGAAAGATACCTGCAGATCATGCATACACTATTTGCTTTCCTTTGCTCAGCATAGCCTCTGCCTACCGGATATACTGCTGAATAGCTCCATCATGGTTCCCTTTGTTGTACAGATGATCTCCATACTGCCTGAAAATCTCTGATAAGCCATCGCTGTCCAAATGGTGACTCTTGGCCAGGTTAATCGCCATCTCAAACAAGTTTTTTTTGAACAGCATCTGGGGAACGTGAAAGAACAAGATTTGGAAAACTGTGGCTTCCTCCCTCCTCCCAAAGCAGATATACTGTTTACCAGCCTTGAACTCAAAAGACAGAGGAAAAAAATGCCACCCCACAAACCTTCTCCTGAGACTTAAGCAGCTTGGACTTCTCAGTCACAAAACACAGAGCGAGAACAAGAGAAACACAGACAGAAGATGAGCCTCGAAGGTGGGAAGGATGTACTCAGGGAATGAAAAATAGGCGTCTCGCAGGGATAGACTGGAGGAGGTAGACTTGGGTCAACCAACGCTGTTCTGGTAACAAGACTTCACAAAACAGAAACCTGGCACATGAGATTGCAGGGAAATGACCTCCTGACCAGGCTACCTACTTCTAGACCATGTCTCATTAAGGCACTCTCCTCATCAGATCACTTGTATGCTCCATTTCACCACAGCTGCTGTGCTTTCCTTTCATACTCAACCTCAAGTTGATTCCTCAGCCCTGCTCAGCGTTCAAAAACTAAAGAGGTCAGCTATATGGACCAAGGTGTCACAAATGTACTCAGTGACAGGAACCAGATTTCATTTTCTTATAGCCAACGGGCCAAAATAGATAACTAGGATGATACATTCCCCTCAGTACACAGAACACTCACAAGATGCATTGGTTTATACTCTATTCAGATTCAAAAGGCTTCTCTCACAACCCATGCAGCTGGACTTTTCAATATTTAAGTGAAAGATTAGATCTGCAGAATCTGAAAGTCACATAAGTACATTCAACCTTTCAAATGGAACAGGGTGAATGCTCTCTCCATTCTGGACAGTGACATTTAATTTGCTGTGTTCCTCAGCAGAGAGATGTCACTGTAGTATTCAGAAAGCAAGCTATTTCTGTTTAATACTAGTCAAAGTCTTTTACGGGCAGTAAGCAGCACTGAGAGAGGCCTGCAGCCCCACAGTTATACAAAGAAGCTATCAGTAGATTAGTACTACATAACAAGTTAACCCAATACTTCATCTAATGAGTCTTTACAATCAGAGATAAAATACAGACTAAAAATTGTAAAACAAACAATGCAGAGTTGCCTGCCTCAAGTTTGGTTTGTGTATCCTTCTCTTGCAGTGCATGGATTTTCCCATCTCTGGTCAACACGTAGAGAGACCCCCACTCAGCTAATACATCAACCACATCATCAAAGATTGAGCTGTAGGCGATGAATTTGTTATACAGGTCATAGATATTCAAGATTTGCTTGTCTGAATTCTGTGGATCACCCCCAGCAAACTCAGATCTGGAGAACAGAAGGAAGACAGAGAGAGTGTAAGGTACAGTCTCCTGGATTTCTACATCTAGTTATCAATAGCACCATCTTAACACGCCCAGAACTGAGATGTCCTCAGCAGGCATGCAAGATTCTTCTTGATGTTTAACTCATAAATGCAGCTTTTAGGCAAAGCTCTGAACAACTCCACCACTATGGAAGTATTCAATTCTTATTCTATACGATGACCCTTCGGGGTCCCTTCCGACTACACAATCTATGAATCTATGTTTTATTAGGAAAATCAGTATCAGTTATAGACGGAAGCAAACAAATCCCGCTGGATCTGGATGCTACTGCATGCTGCTACCCCACCATCCTCCAATGGCTTCTGCAAGTTCAGATGGATTCATAGGAGCCTTTATTAGGTTCTAATACCAAGACTGCACAATAATGTAAGTAGACAACCTAACATAACAAAGCACAATGGGAGTTAAAAGGAATAGTAGTTTTACACTGAATACATTAAATGCACTTGTCCACTCCAGGAGCCCTACTTTGGAGAGCACTTTGGGTCCTTGGAAACAATGACGAGGTATCCCCGATACCAGTGAACGATCAACTTCTGCCCCTCAAAAGCAAAGCAGGGACCCCGCTCATCTGGCTGGTACAGATAGACACATTCATTCCCTGCCACAATGAACTGGAGATCCTGAGAAGGGTCACTGAGGGTAGAGCAGCGCAAGCCACAACCATGAGTGTCCAGCTCCAGACGAGGATAATCCTTCACAGACAATGTGTAGCACTGTAGGGACACAGGCAAGATGAAGACTCAGGACCCAATGCAGCCAGTGAGCCACACCCTGGCACCCGTTACAGTTTTCTCAAACTCACGCCTTACCTGGATGTTCTCAGTGGTTACAACAAAGAGATGTGTGGTTTTGCCAGACTGTCTGAAGGCAAGGCCAGTAACTGGGTAACTGCCTTCATGCAAGATCTGGGTCTTACTGTGTCGATCCCGTGTGATGTCCCCTTTTGTAAGCACTACGCTCCCATCTGCAAAGCCTGTTGAAGAAAATTGACAAACCAGAGGTGTCAAACACTCTGGGCCAGATCTGGACTGGATCCACAGGCCATGAGCAACTGCAGGTGACAGCACTGCCCCAGTGCCAGGCAGCAACACAGACCCACATTCAGATGGCACCTTAAGTTCATCAGGGTCCTGGGACCCTGAATTCTGCAGCAGGCCTGCCCCCAGACCACCACTGGTTCATGTGGAATGGTTCTGTGGGCCAGATCCAACCCGGAGGCAAGATGTTTGACACCCCTGGACTCAACTATTTATACCCATGGCACTTTCAGTACATTAACTAGTGAGAGCATAAGGCAGTTCCAGGTAGCCGAATATTCCTTGGTTCCCATCGCAGCTACATATTAGAAACGGGTGAGCCTGGGATCTTATTTCAATTAACTGAATACCACACTCCTACCCTGTGTAAACCCTAAGTGAATCTGTTTATTGATGTCTCCTGATTCTCAAAAAAAGTCTTGCTGTTTGGAAAAAGCGCAGTCGCCATTTCCAGGACCCTCAGAACCACTGCATACACTTCCCTTTATGGACTGTTTTTCTTTCTTTACTCCCCTTTTGTTTTGCTTTGCTAGAATGGATGCCTAGTTCAGTAGAACCAGTTTTATTTAACCATTGTTTAAAATCAAACCCCTCAAAAGTATGTAAGTTCTGATGAACACAGCAATATAATATAAATAGAAACCACCTACTCAAAAATTACTGATTAAAATAAGTATTTTAAGTTGTGTTGTTAACACCACCTCGCTAGAAGTCCAAGGGTCTGAATTTAAAGCAAAAAACGTTAGAAGCCACTGCCAAGAGGAAGATTATGAAGTGGTCTCCTCACCCACTTGAGCTGGGACTAGCCCCAACACACACTGCAGTAAGAAATAAATATTTAGACTAGAAATTGCTTTCTACACATAAGAAAGGCAAGAAATGGAAAAGATTACGTAGAAAAGTTAGGATCACTCCATCATCACAGGCTTCTAAGAACCAGTTAGACAAATGTCCATTAGAATGGACTAGATATAGTTCAACTCATTTTGAAGCAAGTGAGTGAAACAGACAGAGCTGGAAAAAACAGTGGAAGACTATTTAATATGTTTTTAATACTATTTAAGGTGTTCACGTTTTTGCACTTAATTCAGCTTCCATTAAAGGACCTAGTGCTATGCATTCTTTCATGAGTACTCTCCTGTGTTTGCATAGAAACTCAAAGACTTCAGTCCAAGAATTTCCCCATGAAGAGCACCAGGCCCTTATCTGTTTTGTTCTCTCATATATGCCCTGCAAATATTCTGCGGGAATGTTTAAAAGCAGCCAAGGAGAACTGTTACAACGGAATACTGAAAAACGTTTTTCCTGAACAGATTTCCTGAACACATTTCTGTTTTAGCTGAAGAGAACTAAAATTTCTCTAAAGCCCCTTCAGTTATAATTTAACTCCTACTAATTTACCATATGAAGCTAAAAAAACCCAAAACATTTGGGAGCTGTTTTTGCACCCTCAGGAGAGGGGTGATTTTCACTTACCAATAGCCATGAAATTAAGATTCTCGTGGACAGTTAAGCAGGATACAACTGTGGGTTTGTTCCCTGGTATTGCGGGAAAAATTCTTGTGCAAAGCGGATTCCCACCATCTCGCTTCTCCAGGTTCCAGACTTTAACCTGTGGACAGAGTTGGGATGCAAGGAGAAAACGTTACAATATGTTTGGATTAAAACCTCTTTTTTTCTCCCAGGCTAACAGGCCCAGGATTTACCATGCAGTCTTTTAAACAAAGAAGCTCCAGGAACTCTTCCTAAGAAAGGCAGGTATAGCAGCTCCCCTCCCCTCTATCATCTGACTTACCAAGGGATTAATACCTTCTTCATCTTCACCAACAGACGCCAAAATACTGTGCTGCTTCATCTGGTACAGGTGTGTCACTCGCAGTTTATAAGCCTGGAAGCTGCTAAGTTGAAGGGAACGTGACAAGAACCAGATCTGACCTTCCATATGTGGATGCTAGTCAAGGTGCTTCCATGACAACCAGGTGCTACCACACCTCACCCAACTGCGCCCTTCCTCACGCTCTGTGGTGCCTGGCAGCAGCTCGGACATTGACCCCATTTCTCGCCAGCAGCGCAATCGCACGGTGCAGCATGCCCGCGGGGCAATCGGGGCAACCGGAGACTGGCTGCTACACGCCCCAGAGGCGAGGGCTAGCGGCGGCCGGGCGCACAGCGGAGCGGGGCCTCACTCGAGCCCCTGCCTGACAGCCCAGCACCAGGCCGGGCACCGCACCCCTAAGGCCGGGATGAAGCGCCCGGGGGACACGGACCGAGATCGCCGCGCGGAGCCCGCC